ACATATTATTCGTACAATTTTTTTCCACTAAAATAAATTCACTACCAAAGGAAAAAATGGAGATGGGCTTGATAAGTCACCTGTATGATCATTCATTCTATATAGTTTATAATTTTATATAATATGTGAGTGTACAGAAAATTGAATTTTTAATTCTTACTAAATAAACAATTATACAACATTCAGTTGCTATAAACAAAAAAGGTTTATTTATAATTTTTCAAATTATATAGTTTATAAAAAAAGGATAAATTATTTAATAATGTGTTCAGAGTCAGATCAATATGTAAGATGACATTTTAGYACTATGGTAAAACCAAATTTTAATTAACACCTAATATTTTTAAAACAGATGTGCGATTGGGAGAATAAGTATAACGAACAATGTGAATTAACTAATGAAATCATAACTCAGTATAACTCACTAAAATTAAATGAAAACATAATTAAAAACAAATTAAAAGAAATGAAAGAACTTAAAGACCGCTTCTATACAGAGTTGTGCAGTTATAAAGTAAGTAAAATATACCTTATAATACTATAGCTGCACATTACCATATTTCTATGTTACTAATTAATGGATGTGAACAAATTACAATAATTACACCTCATAAGTATATATTAAATTGCAAAGTGTCGTATTTTATATACATTGTTGTAACTCGATAAATGTTGTAAATCATACTCCACAGTATAATACTAATAAATGCAACTGATTCTTTTTTGTAATAAAATTTATATTATGTAAAATATTGGAATAAATACACAGTTACTGATTTTTCTTTTTACGTTTCTATAGTCTATACTTAGCGCATTGCCTTTTAAATGAATCGCGAATAAAATAGTTATTTACTAGGTATAGTAAATTTAGTGACTATAAAAAAAAAAATACTACCTACTCAATTATTATATATATTTAATATAAATGTCAAATGATACAGGTTATTAGTTCGGAAAACTACCTACTATATAATAGTTATTATACTTAAATTAGCTTTTATAATATACCTAATTAGTTGTCATCATTTAACTGGTTGTTTAGGCTGAAATGGAGGAAAAAAATGRCTTAGTTMAAAAACTAAACACAAATTTGAAATCTATGGAAGAGGAGAATTGTAATTTACGCAGGCAAATTATTGATGTGAATAGTCAATTTGGGATGGACTCTAAATATACGACAACTGAAAACCTAGATTCGATGAAACAAGTCGAAACAAATCCGAAACTTGAACAAGATAAACTTTCTGCTAAATTTAATACCGTATGCAAGAAATTATATGAAATGAAGATTGCGTTCAGTGACGTTAGAAATACAATAAACTGCGATATATTTAATATTGAAAATGTGGTAGATGCGATAAAAAGACTGTCAGAGGCAGAGAAATGTAAACAGAAATTGTTAATTCAGATTCATAAACTAAAAGATAAAAATTGTTTGGTGGATGACGAGTTAACTCGCAGAAACAAAAAAATAAAAGAACTACAACGAGAAAATGAATACTATGTTTGTAAGATCAATAAACATAAAAAACAGTTGCAAGAATGGAACATAAAAAAAGAAAATGTTTCACTATCGAAAAATATATGTGAACAGATTGAACAAAAAAACAATTGTTGTTGTGTGCACAAAAATATTTAAGACAGTTTTTATTAGCAACTAMATTTTGTAATTCCTWCTATTTGAAAAGTTAATTGTTGTATGCGTATACATTATAACATTCGTTTTTCAAAAGTTCCATTTTTTCAACTACTTTTATACTTGTGATCGTAAGAATATACATGCATTGTACCTAATTGTTTTCTAATTACAGGAGTTCTTTTATATTCTTGTTTCTGCAAATGTCAATTCATCCGCCAACATTTTTATTTTTGAATTTTTGAATCTGAACCAATTACTTTATTTAACGTTTCTTTGTTTCTTCCAGTTTTTTTATGTACTTACATTTTACTGTATTWTCAATATAATATATTTATATACATTGTGATTTATTATTTTTTTTTACCATTTTTGTAGCATATAAAAATAATACGCACCCATCAATGCATACTGAATAGTAATAGATTTAAAAAAATGAATGAATTAATACTAAATATGTAGTTTTTGTTTAAAATTATCATTATTAATTATCCTTGTGACAACTAGCGTGTAATATTACCTAATATACAATTTAAATTTCGAAGCAATGTTGGGTTCCTTTAGTATAATATGTATAATAGCCGTACGATTTATAAATAAATTATTTTTCAGAAACAATAACAGTTTAAACTAATTATATGTAGGATTATTATAATGATATTATTTTTAATAAAAGTCAAATTACTTTCGAGCGATTTCTCATAATTACTTGTCATTATTTTAGGCTATATAGGTTCTTGAACAATGGAATATCATGTTATTAATTATTAACAATATATTAATACATATTTATACTATAACTGTCAAAACAATAGTAGATAAATTAAAAATTAAGATTAATAATATTAATACACAACCTACGCTCTAATAATAATATTATATACCTACCGCGTGGTTCATAATTTATAAAGGTGTACAAAGAACACTTGTTAAATGRCGAAGAATATTAATCAATTAATACATTCTTGGATCATTGATGAAAACCGGAAAACCGTTACAACGTAGAAAATAGTTCCAAATTATTTAAATTGTTATTGCTATATAACTATATAAGTATGCTCAAAATCACRGCAGGTTTAAATCTTTACGTAATGTTAAACTACCAAACCAAACCAAGTATATAAAACAGTAAATACGGTAAAATCTAAATTGTAATAATACCAATAATGAATAATATTAGTACATAAATTAATAAGCGTAACGAAAAATATCGGTATTCGTTTAAATTAACGATGATAATAATCATAATAATAATTCGTAAGATAATTTATTACTATAACCCTTATGAAAAATGTATGCGTATTAATTATTTTAATTTTACAGTTTCGTGTTTATACAGACATTTTAGAAAAAAATAATGATGTTGTCGATCAGACATATTATTCCACACACAATATAACAATATTTACATACATGTTATCGCTGAGAATTTATTTCCGGCAGCATCAGCAAAAACAAATACGTAACTTTTTGAATATTGTAATGAAGTATTGAAGTTMTCTTATATAATAATATTATGTTGAATAATAAGGCACCGATGTCAGCTATATAATAATAATATGACAAAAGCCCCGAGGAGAATAATAATAATATAATATTATATGCTCGCGAGTGACCAAATAAATCAAGTGCCGAGAAACCGTTTGAAATGTTAACCGCAACGATGACCTTTAAAATATTGTCAACTACTCGCGCGGAGTTCCATTTATTTTAATATAATATTCGTTTCCCTTCGTTTTTATTATAAATGAGAGTAACCCGATCCCGTTGTCTGGTCGCGCGCAAACACGCGGCCCGCACATAGAGCAACGCATAACATTATAATATTCAACAGTGTGTACATATATAAATATAATATGTTTAATATGTATCGTCCTGGYGGTTTATAATCCGTCCGTTTGTGTTTTCGTTTAAAAAACCGCCGACCGATTTGTCATCCAATTATATCGTCTGCTGTAGCCTAACGTGTCCCAATTAAGATAATACCTACCTGAATGTGTATAATTGTACGACGGTCATATATTGTATTATGATCCTACCTTCTATACGAGACGGAGAATTAWAAACAACTAATAAACGCAATTGAGCGAAGTCATGCATGTATAGGTACCATGGTTATCTATATTAGTAAGTCAAGGAGAAGTATGGTTACTTTGTTGAAATTAAACAACAAGCGTATAGATTATAAGGTACAAAAATTTCAGTGTTTGATATTGTATACCAGTAGGTAATATATAATTTCAAAAATTAAATTTTAAATATTTTACTTTGATATAAGTATTTAAGTATATCAACCTCGTATTTCCATCTACTACTCAGAAATCAGTAGATAGAACTTATGATTTTTTAATTGTGTCTATTATCTTTTACGGGCTATGATTGTATATTATATTATATTATATGCATCTATAATACGCGTTATATATAGAATAAGTAACGATTTTGGTTTTATTACCACATSCCTAATGATATACATATTACATAAAAMATATAATATTCGTTTTTACTAGTGGATACAGYTCATCATTTGTAGGTTTTAACAATATAATCCCTATAAATGGGAGTACCTATATTATACAGTTCTTAACTGCGGGCTTAGACCGTTTAGACGAATAAATAGGTTTATACGAGTAAGTAAATGAATAAATATCAAATTATTGTATTGTGCATTGTCAATTAAAAAGCAATAAACAATATGTACAATTATTAATAATGATTTATAATGAACTCTATTATCTTAAAAAAAAAAAATAGATTATACTTTATTAAGTGAGTTATGTGATAAGAAGAGATGGGCAGGTGATTAAGTACGTACCCAACATCACCTAGAGTAAGACGATCCAACGAGAGATATACTTATCAAGTTAGGTCTAATCGTAATAATGTCACGCACAAATGGGTGATGGTGGGCTCACTGCGTATTGGACATGTGACTGGACGCATTTAGTCAGACACGTTGCAGAACAGTGTGAACAATCAAACTTTGAAAAGATTATTGATYGACTTCGTGGAGTCGGAGGARATGCAAGAGAGTGACTGAAGAAAAAAATGCTTTAATCTTCAACTGAAAATTGCAATGAACGTTTATTACAGATTAATATAGGCTATACGAAATCATCCACATCAAAGTCATTAGCTTTTTACCTCACGCAGATACAAACAATTTCACTCGCYAAAACAGTATAAATGTGAGTAAAACAAATATACTTCAAATTAGTCAAAATTATTACCTTCGCCCTTCGCTCTAGCTACCAGTAGTAACCGAGTAATATTAAGATATTAATATTTAGATGGCTGACAATAATATAGGTGATACAAATACAAACGTACTGTACAAGTATTTGATGCATACTGTTATGATTCATACATATTATATACGTAGATATAGGTACCAGGTATCAACCGTGTGCAAGTTTGTTACGACTTACGAATACATGTGACCACGTGGGTATATAAAAAATAAAATGAGAAATAGCAACGCGCCGCTAGTTGGATTCGCCTCAAGCAAATATAGTATAGCGTATGCAATGTGTGTGAGAAACGATGTTAAAACAATATGATGGTAATTATTAAACTGCAGGCACACTAATGCCGGATTACATGAAATATTAATTCTTTTAATAGATCACTAAAACTTGATGGATCAACCACGGGACACTAAATCATTTCTAAGGCATCATTAATATTCTCACTGTTGATTYAATAAATGTTTATAGTGATTATTTATGCAATCTGGCATTGATATTTTATGTTATACGCAAATATAATGACCATTAATAGGTATGTTTATACACACGTGCATTGGTGCAGTGCGCATAAGAAACGCATTTGACCCGAGACCGACTGTGCACTATCGTACGTATATATGTATAGTATACGCATAAATGATGCACACATAATAATATTATTATATTATTATAACGTACTAAAATGCTGTAGGCCGCCACCGGTCTCTCAATAACACATCATCGTCGTCGTCATCGCCGTAATAATATTYGAGATTCGAGTCGATGGGTTTCATTGAAAAAAGTTGTTATTGTTGCAATACGGTTTACGAGTGTCCGGGTCGTAAATCCCGTTCGATGGGCACCCTCATTATTGTGACATCTTTTACGACTTCGTCAACCGACCCCGATTGTAAAGCTATACATCGTAAAATAAAAATGCCGCTTCGCAATCGTCGTAATCCACTGCCGTCGCCGCCGCCACTAGAATAGTACATATTATGAGTATTACAAGACGTATCTATATACAATATAATAATATAACATACATATGTATATATAAGAGGGTACCGCTGAAGGAGGTGAGAAATTGACTGCCTATAAACGACGTTTGTATGCGGTGTGTGTGTGTGTGTGTGTGCGTGTAGTATAAAGTGAGGGCCGAGTGCAGGTTTACACCGGAAAACCTTCAATTAAAACCACACCGGCACACCCTATGAGGTTTGTGTGTATACAAAAACCCTTTTAACTAGGCACCGCTTGTTATACCGTTATGTACAAGGAATCCTGGGTACAACTGAAAAATTATACWCTAGAATTTTGGGTTAGATGTATTATTGTAGGGTAATATACCGAATGCGTCCCGTTTCGAATTCTTACCTTTTTCATATAGCCCAAGTGCGTCTGTGGTGTTATCGACGAATTATAAATATATTGAATAGCCGAGTGCGTCCTCGTCCACAGTAGGTTACCTACCTATCTGAGATAAACTAATCGTATGGTACAGGCTCAAAGATCGACCATTCTAGTTAAAATGTAAAAATTAGCATGCTCGTCTAAACATGCAAAAATCGGTGTACATATAAGCAAAAAGAATAAATAAGAAATAGGTAATAACTATTAAGCAATAACCAAATATATTTTGTGCGTAAACCAGTTCATTTCTTCGTGATGTGTTCTGGATTGTACGACGTACGTATTCTGACGAGCATTAAATAATAAGATCATATAGGGGCGCACTTGGGATACTGCGGCCACTCAAACTTCCGTATTTTACGATGTAAATTACGTATTAATCCATTAATTTCTTACACGAGTCAAAAAACTTTGGTTTTTTAGTTCCAGTAAAGACGTCACACCAGATATGTACCAGTTAAAATTACCATTTTTTTTTATACAATTTATCTCCCCAAACTACCAAGATCAAAAGGCAAAAGTTGCCCTCAACATATTATATTATTATTAACATAATATACCATATTATATTATTACATAATTATAATTCCACATTTTGCGTAAAATAGAGGAGATAGATATGTAAATAATTTTTTAAAAATTGAATAAAGTAAAAGAATAAATACTTTATTATTGCAATAATAATATTAGTGACAATGTAAATTGTCAAAAACAAAATTAAATATTGTTTAAATGTTTAACTTATATAAATAATGTTTGTTGCATAATATTGACTAACATATTATTATTATTATAAATAAAGTAATTAACTATTAAGTAATCCGTAAWTGTATAACTATTATAGGTATATCTGCCAACCGTGTATATAATAATATGCTAAGGAAAACCGATACATTCTGATGAGAGCAACTGGTACATTTAGTTGAACGAAAATGGTATGCATTTTTTAAATACCGAAATCTGCTACTGAGTGCATTTGGTCAACACCCGCCTCAAATCAGTTGCAGCTTACGGTTGGCAAAGACAACTGATTTTAATAACTTTGCGTTACCTTTTGGATTAAATAGGTATACGAAATAGGTTTCGCCCACCGCTTGCGCACTCTTTAATATATAAAACTCGACCGTCACCCTCTGGTCAAATCGTTTTGCAATGTCCACGGCCATCCTTCAAAACGCAACCTCCCAATGCGTGTACAAATAACTGAAATAAGTGAAATATTCGATTTAACGATCCATTACAAACACGTTTGTACAATGTTATTGACGTGCGAACCGCCTACTCTCCGTGTGCAACAATCTAACGAAATAATAATATAACRAACTGGCGTCTGGAGTTCTTTACAATAATATAGAAGACCCCCCAGATATCAATAATATCAAGAAGTGATATTCAAGTAATGAATTTTGAGCGGTACTGCGAAATTGGTATTTCATTCATTTTKATTTTTGATTTACCGACTTCTTGGTATTTACATTAACCCTGTACTATTCAATGTATGAAAATAATATACGCTTTTGGGTATATATTTTTTTTATCGCATTAATATTATTTATTATTAGTTGTAGTAGTATACCTATGGCTCATATTATTAAATCCTACAAAATAATTCTTACGTATCCAATGAACGTTGAACTTATTAAAATTTACTATGCGAACTATATAAAATATAGCYGTGATACTTTTCATTCAATGTTCAACGACATCATGCCGTGCAGTGTGCACATTCAAATATTTTCGTGTTTATTAAAGTTTTGAAAAATATATATAAAAGATATCTACAAAAAACTAAAAACTACTCACTTAAATAATCGTAGAACAAATATAATAAACAAAGAAACATTTAATACTGAAACACTATTATCACACAATTGAACCTAATTAAAAAAAATGAGTTCATAAAAATAATTTAAAGCAAGTTTTCACCTGTGTTTATTATAAATACTTAATAACTTATATACTGACAGTGCATGTGATAGCTGCGTACCTGTGTGCAATGCGCATACTGCACTGCACAAAAGCAATACAACGCTTGGTACTAACCACCCGAGGAATGTTCATTCAGGTGCGCTTCATCTATGATTTGTATAATTTATTAATTTATGTTTGATTTATCACATTTTTTTTTAAGTCTTATATTATAGACACAAATTTATTTGTGTATTATTAATTAACTATAAATTAAATAGAATTCATTAATCAATTGAAAGTAAAACCTCGTATTTTAAGTAGATAATATTTGTAAATTTTTTTTTTTACCATTTAAAAGTCTAAAACATAATTATATGTATGTATACTAAGTAAAAATGTGCTTAATGAACTTAGCCCATTGATGTTTTTATTATTTGGTCATGAAACGCATTAACATCAATATATACATGTATTTTATATAATATATATGGTTTTATTGCCGTTTCGACGTCGAGTCGTGGAGAATCGCAAATACCTATACCACCCTGTATATACTACTAAGACTTTTAGAATGTGCGATACTATACACATTGGATAATATATAAAAATTATAGAAAAAAAAAAAACAAAAATGTTAACAATTTTGACGTTATCCACTCAAACGGCGGCAATCGATTTATCATCCACAGCCGGTCCTTGTGAAAACCGTTCGTCCGTCCCTCCGGTAAGACATTGCTGATTTGTGGCTTGTAATTATAATGGATATAATTCACGCGCCCGTAAACCGATATTGCCCCGTCTGTTCGCATATGCACGCCCGATAACCTTTGGTTTTTTTTCTTATTATTATTATTTATTTATTTTGCGTCCTCGCCCGGTGAAGCCGACGCTTCTATATAACGACTACGTCTGCATTTTTCGAATTTCGAAACGACAACGGACTAAAATTGGCTCGTTTCGACTACCGATATCGAATGCCGGAGTGAATATCCTGAACAGTATTCTCGCATATCCGTGAGACCACAAAGAAAATTGCGTAAATAAAACGATAAATAAATCTAAGRAGAACGTAAATTATTTTTGTGTAAGCGCGTACAGACGTGTGTGTGCGCTTACACACACGCGCACAAACAAATACTGCACTGCACAATGTCTCCAACAAATAAGAACGACTGCATACGATATTTTGTGATATATTACTTGCAAATATTACAATAACATATCATATTATTTTATCAAATCCATAATTTTCTATGCATGATAAATGCTTAACCTAATGGCTAAATAATAATATACAAGCATGATATTATATATACCTTATATACACCACATTATTATATCTATATGGCTATATACCCTTTATACCCTATATCCGAGATAAAAAATTTCTGAAGTATAAATCACTAATACAATTTAAATAAAATCTTAAGCATAAATATATATTATTATTAACCATTTGTGGGGGGGGGGTATATTCAACCAAATATCAATTAAAAATGTATCAGAACACTAAACATTCAAAAAACTGTCTTTTGTCCTTTGTCGTATTTGCTATATTATAAGGATTTATAAGGATTTAAATGTATTTTGTACTTTCAAGTCATTATCTATAGGTACAAAATATTACATATGGTTCAATTAGCATTGCATGATTGCTCAATCCCACAATAATCAACCAATATTAAAAAACCATCGATTAGAATGACATCCCACCCACCTGATAATCTTCATATTACATTATTATCAACTATTACACATAACTAAGTTAAATGTCCAGCTGTTATCGATTTCTAAAGTTCATCACACGCAACAGAAATATTAAAAGTGTTGTATTATGTGGGTACCATCGTGACATCGTACTTATGTATAACTGTATAAGTATATAACAATATACGACTAACATGCCGTATGCGTGCAATATATTATAACATTATATAATATATAMAAACGCATATAATATATAATATATTCGGGATTTTTCATTCGTTTTAAAATTAGATAAATTATACGTGATAATCAATGAGATAATCGAATTCTCAGTGAAATTCGGTATATTTGAATACTCACTGGGCTTATATATTACCTTCAATACCAACTTTTAAACAAATAAATAATCAACGTCTTAAACCGAGGAAAACCTTTATACATTCGTAATTCAATGCCTGCTTATTACACCRTATTTTGTCCGCATAGAGTGATCTGAAGTATTTGGAATGTCGCCAAGGCATTTGTTTAATGTTTTGTCTGGATATTTTGTTGAATATTTTGCGTGTAACTTTCAAAATATACGTRTTTAGGTAGGTAYACTTGAGAAAAACAAAAATGTTTTTCTTGCCCCGTATATTGGAGTATTGGACGTTGTTGTTCAGTGTTTATATTGTTATTTATAAATGCAATAGGTATATTTTTAATACTAATAATAACATGTCTTATGCAATTAATAAATATCATTTTAAAATATTTATCCTCGCATACATTATTCATCAATAATTCATATTATATTGAATTTTATTTAATTTATTACTATATAATTTACTATTTTTATCAAATTGCATGTTTAAAATTTAATTAAATTTTAGTGTATCATTAATTATTAATAATATGGTTTAACTGGTAACTGCCTAATACACACGTATCAGTTTGAGTAATTATTTATACAAGTCTAGCTGTACATAACTTCCCTCCCTCTTGTGTACAGGGGATTGGCTTTTTAATAGCCCGTCAAAATGAATATGTTATACAAAACTATAGTTTTTGAAATTTCGATACGAATTTATATGAATTGATAATGTACATAATAATATTTGATCGAGTAGTTKTGTTATTTTAAGCTCGGATTAACCATTGTGGCATTGTGATTACCTATAAATCATTTATGGACACCAAWATGCCCCATATATATAATAGGTTGTATTTTATTGGATGTTTTTTATAGGGCCCGCAAAAACAATTGGCACAGGGCCCCGAAAATTTGACGAAAACGGGACTGGTTGTACATGTTAAAATCAATCACGCAGTTACCATATAAAATCAAAATCAGAAATTAAATATAATATATTATCAGCTAACGTCTAAATTTAATTATTATTGAATGTCAGATTAAAATGTTAAATTAGTTGAACCGATTASCATTTATATACATAGTAATTATTGTTCAATTTGTATGGGATATTATAATTAAAAACACCTTATACTTATATAATTTAATACATGTGTCATATTTTACGTCATAAAAAAACGTGCCGCTGCACGACACGACGAAATTGTGTATTTTTTTAACCATATTATTTTTTTCTACCTTGACTAAACACTGTATAGTATGTATAAAATACCAAAACAAACATTGATTTAACATTTCATTAAATGGAGTGACGTCGTAACTCTTAGGATTCAATTACACCGGCTGCAGGTGCGCGGCCATTCGTATATTCGGACGATCAAATTAAATATTAACGCTGATGGGTTTATTATTAATCGAATAGTTTATTGTTCACGAGTGTACAATAGTAGCTCAAGTCGGAAAAATGTGTGTTTTTTTTTCGATATCAACGCATAACGATAATATCGTATAGGTATATGYTTACCATATGTACCTTAGTCGGGTGAAGGTTTCGCGGATACGCCGACGCAGTCGCGGCGTTAAAAAAAAACCCGTTCTGGGCTGTCAGCCGAACTGGCCGTGCCACTATTTCTATACGTTCATATATATTATAATTCTTTTGTGAAGCAAGAGCATGACAAAACATATACGATAATATTACCAAAAAAAAAAATAAATAAATAAATAAATACCGATTTCGATACGACTCGACTACTGGATTATGTTTCAGATTATGTCGTATACGGGTGCTCTGCGGGTGTATATTATTATAATAATATTATGTACACTAAAGGAATTAAATGGCGATTAAAAAAACGCAGGCGCACGTGTGTTGACGCTTAAAAATAACTTTTGTTCCTTCTGTATAAATATGATAATAATAATWATWATTATTATTAGAAAATAATGATAAGTTGACCGCGAGCCCTGCACGCGTGGAATGCGGCCACATTGGTTTGGTGAATTGTGTTCTTTCGAAAACAACCGGCGATGCGTACCTAACAACAATAATGCATTTTATCGTCTACAATAAATTACTATTATTATTATTAAAAATAATATTACATTTTAATATTGTAATTTATATACTATATAAAAGAACTTAATCTAACCGACTGATTCATCCTCGTCAAGCGAGAAGTAGTTTTAATTCGTTTTAAAATGTGAATTATCGCTTATCAAAGATTTTCCATAATTTTCATTATAAAGAGGTCCTCAAAAACAAGATTTTAAGTTTCATGTCGGAATATTACTTGTCTATAAATTGTTGCCATTGATTGCAGATCATAATATAAATAGCAGATACATATATGGTCAACCATGGTTGCTCGGGCAGATGACATCCAGAAAACAACTATTTCTAATAATTCAAGGTGATGTGAAAAATACCTAATAATAATTATAATTACAATATTAATAATGGTAATTATTAATACTAATTATCCAAACCAATAATATAAAACAATAACACAAAGCCGTGTTATTATGCTAGTATTAGATATTATTATAATACGCCTAACAAATACTTAAGAAATTAGTACGTTTTTTTAATAATTCAGCAGGTTGTTGTTACCCGATGAGTGCRTTGTTCGAACAGTGGGATACGTTTGGTGGTTGAGAGGKGGCGAGGGGAGGGTAGAGTAGACATTCTGTTTTTCGCTCCAAGATAAATTTGTCGGTTTGCCGGCACTGAGAAACTGGTTCCGGTGCGAAACGCGCACGCGCTCGCACAGAGCGTATATTATATTATAATATATTATGTAGGTACACATATATTGTATATATACCTCCTCGCCGCCCGGYAATTAATCGAGCTGAGTCAAATTGGGTGCCGAAAATATATATTACGTGCTCAACGAGATTCCGCATTCCACACTCACACACACACTCACAGCTGACTGAGTGCGTGCAGTCGCAGTCGATCGACGATGGTGAGTTGTATGTATTATGTATAGTTGAGTGTATAGTACGTGTATACGCGAAGAAACGGGTTTTAGGCGCACGGTGAACTATTGGACACTGC